AGAATTTATTCTGTTTCTCTAATGGAAAATCATTCGTATTGCATCTTGTTCGAGAAATGCATTCTGCAGCTATAATAAGTGCAGAAGATCCATGCTAATTCGTAGTATAGGTTGTGAAGTAAGCTAATCCAAGAATTCTTATCTTCTTATGTTTCAATATTCTGCAAGAGGATGCAGATAAAGAGCTTTTCTAGCTCTATTCTATAGACAAGATATTCGATCTATGTTGTTTCCTTACTTTACTCAATGCTGAAGGGAAATTTTCCTTTAAGCTTGTTAGGTATGTTGTTTGCGAGAAGCTTCTGTAAGCTGCTAGATTGTTTGCTCTAGCTTAATTCTTCTGTTGTTTAAGAAGCATTTTCTGCATTGCTTAGATATTTGTATCAGTAGCTAAGAAGATACTATCTCTTATCTATATTCCTAGTTATAGTGCTTGGCATAGATGGCGAAGAATGATGAAGAGTGTTGTTGCTAAGCTCTTCTTCCAACGCTTGAATGCTCTGTTTCATGATATCAGAGCAGTTCGAGTTGCTACTCGCAGGGGTGCTGAGCGTATACTTCCGTTCTGCTGTTGCTATTTGTCTGCAGCGCCTAGGTTTCTAAGGGAACCATTCTGAATCTTTCTTACTCGAAAGGTGTATTAAGCAGTTATCGTTATAGCAGAATGTTTAGCTGAGATTTCCGTGATCAATAGAGTTCGATACTTGCTCCGAGAGAGTATTTTTGCTCAGTTGATTGGATTTCTGTTATTGAGCAATATTTATCTAGCATTCTTTCTGGACTGATTGCTATTTGTTCTTCCGGGATTGATAGCAGTTGCATATAATGTATTCTTGTTTATTGCAGTTATAATAAGTAATATTATTCCTCTTGCTATACTGCTTATTAGTAGCATTGAGTTCTATGGGATTAGCGTATATAGTGCTGCTCTAAGCTATGCTATTATATCAATCGCTATTCTTGTTTTAGAATTTCTTATTTATATTAGCTGGAAATCTTCAAGTTTAGCTTCCTTTCTTCTTGAACTTCTCTATCCGTTGTTCGTACAAATAGTTATTAATATGAATAGCTTGATTGGAGAATATTGCAAAGTTCTCCAGCTAATTCTGCTTGGAGATTTCATTTTTAATATCATCTTTAAGTTTCTTATAATAGTATTTCATAAGATTCTTATTTTCTTATAAAAGTTTTGCTAAGAGCTGCTTGAATCTAATTATATAAGCAGAAGCTAACTTAGTTTGTCTGAAGTTTATAAGCTGCTAAGCTATAATGTATTCTTCATTAGAGTTACTAAAGATTTTCTTGAAAGCTTTCTCGAAGCTCTTAAAGGAATTGAATATATTCTTAATACTCTGAATATATGCGCTGGAATTATTCTGATACTTCAAATAGTTGCATAAAGAAAGCTTATACTAGATAAGAATATCTTTTTCGAGATAAGTTTCTGCAAAGATAACTTTCTCGGATTCTATAGTGAACTGGATTGCATAGTACAAGAAATATGCTCTGCAGTAAGTAAGGAACCTATATAGCATTTTCTGATTGCTGTTATATATAGCGAGCTTATTTATCTTATATGCTTTTCTAGCACTACTGATAATTGCAGAGATGAACTGTATCTGCTGAGCTTGTTAAGCTAGCTAAGCTTGCTAGTTAGCGATGGTAGTGCTCTGAGCCTGCTGTTGTTTGCACAGATTCTGAATATGCTAGATAAGCTGGTATATCTGATTAATCAGTTCTTTCTGAGTGAAGGCATGCAAGAATAAAGGGGTTTCTGGAGAAGCTATCGTATTCCGTATTGCTTAAGGGGTAATACTGAATTATTCTTGAACAAGAGTTGTTAAAATGTAATGAGTACTGCAGTAATCCGAAGATTTCTAAGTATACAAAGGAGTTTATGCTAATAAGAGTAGTATTAAAGTGTTAAGTTCTTGAATACGGAATTGTATAAGTCTTAATAAGCGATGCGAGTGTTCACTGTCTTTGGGGCTATTTAGTGTATGAAACTGAATACTTAGATTAACAACTGAAGAACTATCTGAAGGAAATCTATCTAACAGTAGGAAATGTAAATCTTTATATACTTGGTTCTTCAGTTCGGATAGATAGGATTGATGTTGACTTCATCGATTCCTTTATCGATGGGATAGATGTTGACTGTATCTATCCGCTAATAACCCTAACCCTGGGTTATGTAATCGATGCTTTGTCAGGATGTTGAATCCTTGATATCTGGTCTCTGTTACTTATGACCTGTTCTGTGATCTGCATGTTGGATGGGTCATAACATCTGGCTTTGTCCCCGAAGCTTGTAAAAAAAAAATCTCTTTTTAATTACATTTCAGACATAAGTCTTCCGAGTACAATACCCGCGCTATATACGCTGCTCAATCGCTGCTTCTTCAGTACTTTATCCAAGCATTCTTCAGAACTTAAAGCTGTTTGATATAGATTGCAAGCCTTTCACCAGGAACTTGATTTGCAGCTAAGGAGCTTAGTATTCAGAATAGCATTCCTGCAGCTATAACAGATAATTATAGCTTTCCATCTTAAGAGTTGCTTTCTAGCAATTCTGAAGCTATTGCTATGCTTTGCTCTATTACTAGATGCAGAAGAATAATTGGTTTGCAATTTAATATCCAAGCAACTTTAGTTGCTAAGCAGATACTCTGCTTTAGCTCTGCGCTTTCGCTTAAATAGCAAAAAGCATACTCTCGAAAACAGAAGATATTCAGATCTACTGCTTGCTTATTCTGCTCTCTTGCTTGAATAGCAAAGAATATATTCTCGAAAATAGAAGATACTCAGATCTACTGCTTACTTACTCTGCTTTCTTGCTCGAATAGCGAAGAATATACTCTTGAAAACAGAAGATACTTAGATCTATTGCTTGCTTACTCTGCTTTCTTGCTTAAATAGCGAAGAATATATTCTTGAAAACAGAAGATACTCAGATCTATTGCTTGCTTATTCTGCTTTCTCGCTCGAATAGCAAAGAGTATACTTTGTTCTAGCTTAGCAACTCAAATACTCTGAATCTCTTCTGAATACTTCTTGCATGCTGCTTGCATATTGCTTGCTTGCTATTTGCTTTAGCTTAGCAATTCGAATGCTTTGAATCTCTTCTGAATACTTCTTACATGCTGCTTGCATACTGCTTACTTGCTGTTTGTTCTAGCTTAGCAACTTGAATGCTCTAAATCTCTTCTGAATGCTTCTTGCATGCTGCTTGCATACTGCTTGCTCGATACTACTTGCTTGCTATATGCTCTAGCTTAGCAACTCGAATGCTCTGAATCTCTTCTGAATGCTTCTTGCATGCTGCTTGTATACTGCTTGCTTGCTGTTTGCTCTAGCTTAGCAACTCGAATGCTCTGAATCTCTTCTGAATGCTTCTTGCATGCTGCTTGCATACTGCTTGCTCAATACTGCTTGCTTGCTGTATGCTCTAGCTTAGCAACTCGAATGCTCTGAATCTCTTCTGAATGCTTCTCGCATGCTGCTTGCATACTGCTTGCTCAACACTGCTTGCTCGCTGTATTCAAGGCTCGAAAGCTCGAAAATCGAAGGCTTGAAGGTTAAAGGCTTGAAGATTAAAGGCTCGAAGGTTCGAAAAGGATAGTAGTCTGATTGTTTGCTCTGCTCCTGCTCAGTGTTAGCGCTGCTCCTAGGGAAAAAAAAAGATAGAAAGCCTTGCCGGATTGCTTCCTTTAAAAGGGCTAGGCTTCAAACTGTTAGGTGGAAAGGTTGCAAAGGCAATGTGGCGAGGTCTTTTCTTTCTTTCAGGAGTATACAACCAGAATAACATTGAGGCCTAAGGAGCTAAGTTCTGCTCAGCAGTGCTGACGTGGCTAGAAAGCCGCTTTATAGCTGCATATTGCTTAGTCATCCGTAATCCAGCTGGCTTAGCTAGCTCTGAGCCTTGCTGGCACAATCAGCTCTGACAGAGTTAAAGTTGCTTCAACTGCATTAACAAAAGAAGATGTAATGTAAGAGGATGTCTCGAGCTATTTGTTGAAATCTCAAGAATCTCGAAGAGCTTGAGAAAGAGAAAGCTAAGAAAGCTGAGGCTAAGAGAGTGCATATTGCTGCTGAAGTGCAGGCTGTGATAGCTGAGGAATCTGCTATTGTAGCTGGAGATTCTTCTTTTGAGAGTTTTAACTGAAATTCTATAAATCTAAGAAATTCTGTAGTTAACTAATTGGATTTCCTGGAGAATAAGATCTCTGAGAGCCCTGGATCTCGGTTCGAAGCGAAGCAATCGTCTTAGATACTATGTTATAACCCATCCAACATGCAAGTCACGAAAACAAGTTACGAGTAACAAGGACCAGGTGTCAAGAATCCAACGTTCTTACAAAGCATTGATTACATAACCCAGGATTAGAGTTGTAAAGGAGGGAGGATCATTAGGCTTGCTAGCGATCCCAACGAGCTTCACACCTTGGATCGCTGAGCTCGCCAGCAATCCCAACGAGCTGTACTGAAGAGCTGGATATATAAGGATACGTTCATTTCCATTAGATAGATTCAGTACATAGCTCTTCAATTATCAATCTAAGTATTCAGTTTCATATACTGAGTAGCCCCAAAGGCAGTGAACATTTGCATTGCTTATTAGAATTTGTATAGTTCTGTATTCAAGAACTTGATACTTTGATACTGCTCTTGTTAGCATAAACTCTTCGTATATTTAAGAATCTTCGGATTGCTATAGTGCTCATTATATTTTAACAACTCTTGTTTAAAAACAGTTCAGTATTACCCCTTGAGCAATATGGAACATGATAGCTCCTCCAGAAACCCCTTCGTCCTTGCGTATTCCCACTCAGGAAGAACTAATTAATTAGATATACTAGCTTATTCAGCATATTCAGAATCTGCATAAACAATAGCAGACTCAGAGCATTACTATCGCTAATCAGCAAGCTCAGCTAGCTTAATAAGCTTAGCAGGCATAGTTTATCTCTATAGTTATTAGTAGTGCTGGAAAAGCATATAAGATAAACAAGCCTGCTATATACAACAGCAATCAGAAGACGCTATATGAGTTTCTTATTTATTGCAGAGTATATTTCTTGTACTATGCAATCCAGTTTATTATAGAGTTCGAGAAAGTTATTCTTGCAGAAACTTATTTTGAAAAGAATGCTCTTATTTAATATAAGCTTTCTTTATGCAATTACTTAGAGCATTAGAATAATCCTAATGCATATATTCAGAGTATTAAGAATATATTTGATTCCTTTAAGAGCTTTGAAAAAGCTTTTAAAGAAATCTTTAATAATTCTAATGAAGAATATATTATAGCTTAGCAGCTTATAGATCTCAGACAGATCAAGTCAGCTTCTGCTTATACAATCAGATTTAAGCAACTCTTAGTGCAACTTCTGTAAGAAGATAAGAATCTTATAGAGCACTATTACAAGAAATTCAAGAATAATATTAAAGATGAAATCTTTAAGCAGAATTAGCTGAAGAACTTTGCAATATTCTCTAATCAAGCTATTTATATTAATAATTGTTTGTATGAATAATAGATAGAGAAGTTTAAGAAGGGAGGAAGCTAGATTTGGAAGTTTCCAGCTAATATAAGCAAGAAATTTCAAAATAAGAATAGCAATTAATATAGCAGTATAGCTTAGAGCAGCACTATGTATACTAGTTCTATAGAACTTAATGCTACTAATAAGCAGTATAGTAAAAAGAATAATATTACTTGCTACAATTGCAATAAATAAGAATATATTGCATATAACTGCTATTAATTTCGAAAGAATAAATAGCAACTAATTCAGAAAGAATGCTAGATAAATATTGCTTGATAATAGGAATCCAATCAACTGAGCAAAAATACTCTTTCGGAGCAAGTATCGAATTCTATTAATTATAGAAGTTTCAGCTGAATATTCTGCTATAATAATAACTGCTTAATATATCTCTTGAGTAAGAAAGGTTTAGAATAGTTCCTTCAGAAATCTAAGCGCTATAGGCAGATAGCGATAGTAGAGCGAGAATATATGCTTAGCATGAATATAAGCAGTAACAATTCGAATTGCTCCGATATCACTGAATGAAGCATTCAGGCGCTGGAGGAAGAGCTTAATAATAATGCTCTTCGCTATTTCCCATCATCTGCACCAGATACTATAACCAGAGACATAGATAAGGAATGATACCCTCTTAGCTACTGGTGTAAATACTTAAGCAACATAGAGAATGTCTCTCAAGCAACAGAAAGATCAAGCTAGAGCAAATAACCTAGCAGCTTACAGAAGCTCTCTGCAAACAACAGACTCAACAAGCTTAAAGGAAGGTTTCCTTTTAGCATTGGATAGAATAAGGAAATAATATGAGTTGAATATCTTGTTTACGGAATAGAGCTGAAAGAGCTCTTTATCTGCATCCCCTTGCAGAATATTGAGATACAAGAAGATAAGAATTCTTGAATCAGCTCACTTTACAATCTACATTATGAACTAGCTTGGATCTCCTGCATTTATTATAGCTGCAGAATGCATTTCTTGAATAAGATGCAATACAAATGATTTTCCATTAGAGAATTAGAACAAATTCTTCAGACTATTAAAGAATAGAAACTCTGCTTTAGGAAGATTCTTAATAGATAGTACTATAATGCATATATCGAACTATTAGATAACTGCTCTAGACAATGTATGAATAAGAAGATAAAATGATAGCAGTATGAAATAATATTCTATATAATTTACATTAATAATAAGATTTGCAACTAGCATTAATAGAAGAAAGATTAGAAATAATAATAATACAAGCAAAAGCAAGCTAAGAAGCTTGCTTAAGAAGCAGCAAAGCAGGCTTAGAAGAATAAGCAGTTCTTAATGAACTTAAAAGGATAGGATTACTTGTAAAGAGACTACAGATGATCAGATTAGAATGATCTCTATGTAAAGCTTTCAGAATAGATTATACTTATATCAAGTTCGATATATACATTCAAGAATATAAATACAACGCACTATTGAATAGTAGTGCTCAGGGAAACTTCATATTCCTATACATTATCAATCAGGTACAACTACAATGGAGATAGAAGAAATGCTCATATACTCTCAGCACTATAGAAGAATAATCTGTTATATATAATCAAGAAGTAATTAATAAGAAAACTAATCATCTATCTATTTTGATCCAAGAATGCATAACTAGAGCTTCCTTTGATATTATAGATATAGTACAGCATGAGCTGATTATGAAGCTTCTATAGCTCAAAGAGCATAATTCTCGAATTGATTGAATTACTAGCTAGCTCTTATAAGAACAAGCTATATCTAGAGAGATAGTTACAATCAATAGCGCAGGATTGAAGCTAGTGATTGAAGAATATTCAGAAAAAGAAGCTTCATACAACTTCATATATATCTTCAAGTCAGCAGAGCTAGCAGTTCAAGAAGAAGGATCTAGTAATAAGCAAACCCAAACAGTGCTAGAGCGCTAATAGGTTAGCAAAATAATGGAAGCAAGATCCTCAGCAAGTCAGTTCGCTCTGAAGCAATAAGGAAAAGCTTCAGAATATGAATTATGAATCCATACGGGAAAAACCTCGAAACCAGGCTCTCAAGCGCTCGCTCCAGCTCGGAGCGGACGCTCAAGGTCTTCAAAAATAACAAATGAAAAGAAGTATGCTCAATAATATCTACTATTTCTCCAGATAGCAGAAACAGCACAAGAATCAGAACTAATACTTGCAAATATATCATAAGAATATTATAAGTTTAAGAAACTATTCCAGGAAGAATTGAATACAGAATTGCTAGAATACAGCTTATACAATTACGAGATTTCGCTGCAAGAAGGAAAATAGCTTAAATTCTTTCTTATCTACAGACTGAATTAGATATAACTAGAAGCACTTAGGAAGTATTTCGATAAGAATCTTAAGAAAGAATATATATAATTATTGCAATTATCAGCAGAATATCTTATTCTATTTGTATTCAAAAAGAATAGCAAATTCAGACTATATATTAATTATAAGTAATTTAATGATATTATAATTAAGAATTAATATCTATTGCTACTTATTAAGAAACTATGAAATAGATTGCAAGGAGTATAGTGATTCACAGTTCTGAATCTAAAAGAAGCTTATAATCTGATCAGAATAAAGAAAGAAGAAGAATAGAAAACTGCTTTCAGAATATGCTATAAATATTATAAGTATTTAGTTATGCTCTTTAATCTAACAAATGCTCTAGCTTCATTTCAAGAAATGATTAATCATATTCTGCATAAATACCTAGATCAGTTCGTTATTGCCTATCTTAATAACATTCTTATTTACTCTCGAATATTAGAAGAATACAAGAAATATATGGAAACAGTATTGCAAATACTCCAAGATGCAAAACTCTTTATGAAACTTGTAAAGAGTTACTTTTACATACAAAAGGTTAATTATCTCGGATTTATAATTAAGCTAGGATGCATCAAGCTATAGAAAGATAAGGTAGAAGCTGTTAGGAATTAGCCAGTTCTCAGGAATATCAGAGATATTAAGTCTTTCCTTGGATATATCAACTTCTACAAGCAGTTCATTAGAAACTACAGCCAGATCGCACATCTTCTTACAAATCTTATTAAAAAGAAGCAATTCTTCAAATGAATCTCTAAAGCACAAGAAGCTTTTGATAAGATTATCAAGCATATTATCTCAGAGCCAGTTCTATATAAAGTAAATCTCTATAAACTCTTCAAAATTGAGACTGATACATCGGAATATGCACTTGGAAAACAACTTAGCTAGCAAAATAACCAAGAATGTCTAAGGATTATAAGCAATTTCTCAAAGAAGTTGAATAGCTCAGAAATCAACTACAGGATTTCTAATTAGAAGCTTATAGCAATAGTAAAAGCCTTTGAGGAATAGCAATACTACTTCATTAGCATACAATATCCAATCATAGTTCACTCGGATTACAAGAATCTAACTACATTTATAACAACTAAGGTTTTGAATAAACAATAAGTTAGATAAGCAGAATTCCTTTTACAGTTCAATTTCAAGATTGTATACTGCAAAGACTTGGAAAACGAACGAGCAGATACTCTCAGCAGAAGATCAGATCATCGAGATGCAGATTCCTCGGATATACAGAACATCTTCGCCCAAGATGAGTCAGAAAACCTCATCAATGCATACAGAGAACTGAATACTGCTTTCAGAATTGAACCCTTAGAGAAGAATTCAGAATCGATAACTTCAGATGAACAAAACAACTATATTAGGAATGTATATAGTACATTAGCATATAAGCATTAGGAAATCAAAGTAACTTATAAATGCCTTAAAAAATACTGGAATCTATTAAGCCTTAGGAAAAGAATTGAGAATATTTTATAACAATGCAATAGCTGCAAGAAGAATAAAGCAGAAAGATACAAGCTTTACAAACTACTGCATTCCTTATTAGTACTTATAACTATTTAGCAATCCATTAATCTAAACTTTATTATTAAGCTATCTCTCTTACAAGAACTCTTAACTAAAGTATAATACAATAGCATTCTAATAGTGATTTGCAAACTGAGCAAGTATGCTTATTTTCTTCTTTATAAGAAAAGCAGTATAGCAGAGGAATTTGTATATGCATTCCTCAGAATGATTATTGCTAACTACAGCATACTAGAAGAAGTGATCTCTAATAGAAACAGAAAGTTCAATTCAAAGTTTTGAACTTTACTTATAAAATAGCTCAGAATATATTACAGAATATTTACAGCATTTTACTTACAAACAGATGAATAAATAAAAAGAATGAATCAGATTATTGAATAATATCTATAATACTATATCAATCAGAAACAGAATAACTAAATTGATCTGTTATCTCTTGCACAGTTTGCTTATAATAGCGCAGATATAAGCATAATAAAGAAATCATTATTCTTTATACTCTATGGATACAACCTAATAGCTTACTACAAAGTATTACTAGAAGTAGATGTAAAAGCTGCAGATAAAAGAATTAAGAAGATTAAGAAAGTTCAGAAGGAATTCCGATTAGAATTATAATTCGTTCAAGAATGAATAATGCAGTATGCAAACTCCAAAAGAATTGAGAGACTAATTCTATAAAAAAGAGATAAGGTTTATCTATTTCGAAAAAATATCAAAATAACA